AAAACATTCAACAAGACGCAAAAAAAAAAAAAATCAATGGAACAAAATAGAGTACATGCTAGATAGAATTCAGCAGTTGATAAATACGACCTTTCACATGAGTGTGGTAAAAAATCATTATTAAGGGGCCGGGGTGATGGCTCAGTGGAATAAGTACTTCCCTGGCAAGTGCAAGGGTCTGAGTTCAATCCTTGGTTTTGCAAATAAATAAATAAAGGTTAAAATCGTTAAAAAGAAAAGAAATCATTATTAAGTGGATGGTCTTAGTCAACTGCCTAATCCTGAAAATACATACAAAAAAATCAGGCTGATTTGAATATTTACCATAAAGATTATTAAAGTAGTAGATAAAAATATATGAAAATACAGCATGACTTAAAGCTAGAGGAATACCTTCATAAATGATATGAAACCACAAATCATTTTTTTAAAAAGACCAACAGATTTGACTACAATTTTTTTTTTTTTTTTTTTGCGGAACCAGGGATTGAACTCAGGCCCTTGCGCTTGCCAGGGAAGCGCTTATTCTACTGAGCCATCTCCTCGGCCCCGCCTATATTTTTAAAAAGTAAAATTCTCTGTGGTAAAAAGTACCAATAAACTAAAAAAACTAATAAACTGCGTAGTACATAACAGACACAATGATAATGTTGTCATATATCCCTGTATCAATATAAAGTTCTCACAACTTGAAAACAAAGAAATACACCCAAAAAAAAATTTCATAAATAACAAGTATTCACTTTAAGGGTCCGGGGAGATAGCTCAGTAGAAGAAGCACTTGCCTAGCAAGCACAGGGTCCTGATTTCAATACCCAGTACCGGGGGGGGGGGGGGAGAGATACTTTGAAATAAAATTCTGTTTATAACAAATACTAAATGGGCAATATGTTAAGAATACCTCCATTGGTGACAGGTCCAGAGGAGGAGGTATTACTATGTTTAGTTGGTAAAAACTGGGTAGAGCCCCTCTGTAGGGGTTATTAAGTTTAATCAATAAAGTACATGCCACATTATCACTTTATGAGAGATTTTTCTACTGTGATGATTAAAAACAAAAGGAAAGAAAGAAACCCAGTTTTGTGCTAACCGCCCCGTCCTCCCATGCCACATTCATTTTCCATGTCATGGTCAGATGCCTCCATGTGCTGCTTTGGTCTTCGCTAAGCCTGACCCTCCCAATCCCTGCTAATCTCCCACCAGTCCCTATGGTGTGCACCTGCCACCTACTCTTCCCTTGTCTCACAACAGGCAACTGTCAAAAACTGCTGTTAGCCCTTCTATTCCTCTTAGTTCCCAGGTTTTATTTGAAGATTACATTTTAATTCCAGCTACCAGTCATAGAAGCTACTCAGGTTTGGAAATGGTTTGATTGTGTCTCCCAAAGGTTTCTAAGCTGAGATGTGGGACCCAATGTAACAGTACTAAGCAGGATCTGTTAGAGTAAAGCCAAGAGGTCAAGCATCAGTTGAAAGTCTCAGAATCAGGAAAAATAATAAAAATACTGTGCCTCTGCCGTCCACTTGAGATTGAGCTTAGCACCCATAAATATGTTACATCCTTCAACTCTCACAGCAAAGTTCATGAAGAGGGTGTTGTTCCTGTTTGTAGGTACAGATCAGGAATCCGAAAGGCACAACTTGTCACAATGCAAGTTTGAAGTAAAAACCAGGATTTGAGGGGCCAGGGAGATAGCTCAGTAGAATACGTGCTTACCTGGCAAGCACAAGGTCCTGAGTTCAATCCCCAGTACCACAAAAAAAAAAAAAAAAAAAAAAAACAGGATTTGAGAGGTGCTCTAACTCCACAGCCCAGTTTTTCTAACAATGCAGATTTATACACAATTTTACCTAGACTGAGGGAGAGGACATGGTAATCTGCCACTTTCCAATTTAAAGAACATCTCTTCTGTGAATGTAGTAGATGGAATCTTTTATCAAAATATTACAGTCACATCCTTCATGAAAATCTCAAAATTGTTTTTTAAAAAAGAAAATAACCTTTACAAATAGTATAGAATCATTTTGTTCTCCAGAGAATCTTCCAGTACTCATGCTTATCTTAAAGAATATATTGATAAATAGCACCAATGAATATATGTACATATTACCACTGTAAAATCAATCTCTCATTACATAGCCAGTGCATTAATACCACAAAATGCAAACATTTATAACGTATCTACTGCATATAAGACCAGTGTCTAAATACTGTGCAAAAATACTCAAGGATTAGAATCTATAATCCTTGCCTCTACAAGCTTGTAATTTTAGAATCAAAGGCAAAACAAACACACAAAGGACACTGAATAAAAAAGGTGACATATAAACATGCAAATTAACAATTCAAACTGAACACTGATACGCTAAGGAAATAAAGTATTTATTTGCCAGTGACATTCCTGGAAGAAGTGTATTTAGAACATCAAGTAATCAATAAATGGCTGTGAAGATAAGAAACACCAAGTCACCCTTGGATAATCAATGGAGACTATTCCTGGATTCATTTTAAAATACTATCAAAATTCTAATCCACTACAAAAGGCAGAGTTTACTAAGAACTGCAATAGTTACCAACGTTAAGGTGGTTATAAGGTTTCTCTTAATTTTTTAAAAAATTGACTACTGAGATTTCCTTCTTTTCTTGCTGTCATGAACCTCTAACACCTTGGTTGATCAGTATTTTCAGACATGGAAGCTGATACACCAAGACAAAAGCCAGCATTATGAACAGACCAAGGTACAGACAAGCACTATACTGGCAAAGTAAAAGCCAGACTGGGGAGAGACAAAGTAAGGAAAGACTATAAATGATGCCCATTAATAAGTAAAGGGAAAGTATATTTTCCAAAAGGCTGTGATTATGCCTGAAGGCACAGGTTTACCTCCTGGAGCTGCCAGGGAACTAAAGCCCATAGACAGTTACTGCTGGGACCATATTCACAATGATTTGTTCTGGGAGTCAAGCTCCTATTGTTTCAAATTAAATACAAACACAATGGCCTTCAGCCCATGTCAGCCACTTTGGTTATCACACTGCTTATTACTTAAACCTACACAATCATAGTAGCTCAAGTGAATGCAGCCTCGAGCTCCAACTCCATAACAGGGCACTTCTGTTACTCTCCAAGTACCCCACAGGCAGCTCTGAGATATGGAGTCTTCACTCGATTTCCTCTCCCTCTTATTAAATCCATTCAAAATCTCTCTGATAAAAGAGCAACTGACAGGCCTGAGATACTTTAGTCTCTCTGTGGGAAATGAAATTGACTTCCTTCATTTTCACACAAGCAGCGCCCTGGCTAACGACATTGTGTCCAGTGACATTCATACAAAAAATGTTGGCAACATCTATACTGTACCAAAGACTGAAAGGTTTTGTGGGGTTCTTGTGCTCGAAGAATTTAGATTTGCTGCTATGCATTGAGTTCAACAGCTGTAAGGGTAAGTCATAACCAACAGACCGAAGGCTGTGGGCACCTTCATCTGCTCCATGAAGCCCCATGGGAAGGCAGTTTCAGTCACAAGTGGCAGTGCCAGCTCCTTCTCTTCCTGTCATGCCTGACTAAAGGAACCAACTTCTTCCTACCTTTGACTTCCAACTTGAAGGTAAAGACTATCTGAGAACAATTTCCAGTAGAAAAATGTCTGAATTTCAGAGTCCTTTAACGACCTTTCCAAATTCCCAAATTCATTAACTTGTATAGATTTTGCAGAATTTTAGAAAGTTTAATGATGGCTTACACATAAAGGGAGAATATGAAACAGTAAAACAGTAAATTTTTAAGCCTTTTTAAAACCAATCCTGAGGCTGCAATTATTAACAATGCAAACTGAAGTAGCGTGCAGGAAGGCAAGAGGTAAACATGGTCCCAGGCCAGCCACATTCCCAGCTCCACTCGAAACACCTGTGATGTCAAATGCCATCTGAGAGCCACTAACCTAGAGAAAGAACACAGATGCCCACAACATGCATGCTGCCACCCAAAACTCTCTTTGTCCCCCTGGGCACAGTCTGGAAAGTCTTCAGAAATACTTAAGGATTTTGTGGGAAGAATCCAGCCCTTAATAATAATTTTCCTTTCAATATATACCACTGAGTTTTAAAAGGCATTTGCTTCTCTAGTGTCCCCTATCCCTTATTCTTCACATTTCTACACATAAATATCGCACAAAACAAGTAGAAGACTCTCACTGCATTTCAAACATGAAGGCACACACTTTTGTACAAGTTCTTCCCCATGAGCTGTGCTTGGTAGCTGACACTCTGAAACACTCTTCTACAAGACTGCCATCGCCTTCTCAAAGTCCACATATCTTCAAATAAGGATGAAAATCATTTATTAATCATGAGAACTAACCTGCAAACACGGGCTGGAAAATACAACTTTTGCCAAGACCGACACAGATAGTGTGAATGATCTATCACTCTGATCCAATCAAGTTCATCCATTGACACTTCAATAAAGTAGGAATAGGAGCTACAAAACAAATGAAAAAGGCAGAAAAAAATCATTAAAACAACACAAAGCTATACTTAAAATATGAAATAGCATAAAAATATAGAACTTAATAATTAATTTTCTGCATAAAATCAACTTTGATAACAATGAAAGTCATATAAAATTCATCTGCTGTAATATGTACCATATGTATTAAAATTTCCTCCGCTTTTGTGTTTGCCTTCGCAAATCATAAACTGTTTAAACAAGGACCACAGCTTAGCACCTATCAGATATGCAAGACGTTCATTCCTTTTCAAACATGGTCAGGATGCCATGGCCATATCATATCAGAAAATTAATAAAGTTGAGCAGGAGAAAGAGAGAGAAAAGAGAACAGAAAACAGAAGCAAGAGGTATGCCTTCTTCCTTTAGGTCCTCGGCCTGGGTGCTTAGCTCTCCCCTCTCAGGAAGAAAGTCAACTTGGAGGGCTTCCCATACAGGCTAGTTTATCTCGTGCTACCCCTCATTCTTCTCCCATCCCACACATTCAAGCAGGCTGCACAAAAAAAAATGACATGGATGAAGAGATAATGCATGTTTCTTTTGGGTATGACTCAACACTTGCTAGCTAATAACTTAGCAGTAATGAAAATAGCCTATTATCCTCCCTTGTCAGCTACCTTGGACCATTACATGCTAGTCCCATACTCAACAAATCTATATTCCCTTGTCATAAGCCAAATTTAAATTTGAGATGCAGTTATTACTCGTACTGTAATATCAACAGGAACAATCTTAGAAGATTTAGGTGACCATAAATGTCAGCCTGCAACCCACATTTGTGACCAGAAAAGGTCAGCTTATTTTGTGCCATCGCCTCATTTTCTGCTGTCCCCTCAACTCCCATTCATTTTATCACAGTCTCAAACTGGTTATAACCTTTTATTGAACCTCTCCAGGTTATCAGTAATGCAGGATATAATTTTGAAGTACGTCAGAATCTTTTTGGCTTAAGATTCTGAATTTTTCACCTTTGCTTAGAATAACAATTTCTGTGAGAAAAGAACAGTTACATGGTAAAGCTAAGACCCCATAAATGTAACAGATACTATAAAAAAGTCAACCATAAATATTTAACATCATGGAAACAATAACTACTTTCAGTTTCAAATATTCCAACATGATTTTTATTATTCTATACTAATTTCATTATTAACTAGATTAAAGCTTTTAGAACAGTGTCTACCACACAGGCATAATGAAAGTGCTATATAAATGTCATTACACTATTATTAACTCCAGGCTCTGTAGAAATGGATATGTGAATTAGACTCTCTTTGCCGATTAAAGTTATGCCACGTATGGTGGTGGGCACCTATAATCCCAACATCTTGGAAAGCCAAGACAGGAAGATCATAAATTCAGTTCACTCCAGTGGACTAAGTGCCTGCTTAGTCAAGGGCAGGGCCTAGGGTTCAATCCCTGGCACTACATGCTGTGCTGGACCTGCCCCCGGGGCACATTGAACTAGCCACCAAGTCCGGGCATGGTGGCACACACCTGTAATCCCAGCACTGAGGAGGCTGAAAACAGGAAGATCACTGAGTCTGAGCTGCTTAGTGAAACCCTGTACCAAATACACTAAAATTAATTAAATAATTAATTAATCCCCAGCCTGGCCAACATGTCACAAAATAAAAGAAGGCCTGCGATGTATCTCAGAGTGAAGGCCTTGGTTTCAATCCCCAGAAATGGGTGCTAAAGGTCAAATTATATCCAAGATACATGTCAGGAAATATATTTGTAATAAAAAAGGAGGGGCAGAGATACAGCTAAACTGTAGAGGGCTTGCTCAGTACGCATGAGGTTCTAGGTTTGAAACCCAGCACTGGGGTAAAAAGAAGACACAAAGTGGTAACTCTTGTCCCTTCCCTCACACGTGGCTCAAATGGGCTAATGGTCAAGGTGGTGGCCAAGGGAGCCAATCGGCAGAGTTCAGGGCACCACCATGTTGCTATTAAGCCCCTCTTGTCCATACTCAAAGACGCAGGAGCAGGACCCAGTTTCTGGATGTGAGAGTTTAGGTTAATATGAGCAATAATGAGAGAGACAGCTTAATCCTGGTCTCCCATATTGCTCTGGTATTCTGCCACCATGGATGGACCCCTAGAAGCCGCAGTGAATAAAAGTACCAAGGCCACTAGAAAGAAAGCAGAATTCTGAAGCCACTGAGCAAATGGGTAGATTCCAAGACTAAGGCCCACCAAATTTTCTCATGAATTTTTTGTTTTGAGGATGCTATTTATCCATACACTAAAAGAAGCAGCTCTCTTCACCCATCGGATAAAATGCATTTAGAGAGTTACAGAGCTGGGGATATAGCTCAACGGTAGAGTGCTAGCCTGGCACGTACAAAGCCTAGATTTGATCACCAGCATTACTAAAAGCGTGTGCATGCATACACACAGACGCACACACACACACAGCAACTACTCACAAAAAACTTATTATAATATCCAAGAGTGAGGAATCTAGTAAATAATGTTATCCTATATAGTGGCATACCAGAAAACCATCAAAAGTAACACTTAAGAGAAATCTTTTTAAAAGGTTAGAATGTTTAAAATACATGAAAAAGTAAATTTTTTAGCCCAAACATTTATTTTTTAAAACAATGTGGTTTGTGTATGTTCATATGCACATATCTACCCATAACAAAAGAATTAAGATATGTTTTACATGTATGTCCCAGCTCCACATGAAGAACATAACCACTACACTCTGTAAACATGTACCAATACTGAGTAAATAATTTCATACTTCTATACACACAAATATTAGAGAGCCAGAAATGTAACTCAATTGTAAATACCTTCTTATCCCTGGGTTTAACCCCTGGTACTAGAGGAGCATAATGAGATATATATAAATTTTAATAAAAAGTGGTGAGATTACCACCAATTTTTTTTTCCTGTGTGGACTTCTTTACTTTCTATTCTACACATACAGAAACACAAAAAATGAGGCCAGGGAGATAGCTCAGTAGAATAAGCACTTGCCTGGCAAGCACAAGGGCATGAATTCAATCCCCAGTTTCACAAAAAAAAAAAAAAAAACAAAGAAACACAACATATAGTCAATACTTTTACCAACAAGGAGAAAACGTGTCACTTTTTAAAAATAAATATAATCTATAAATCTTCCCACAAAAATAATCTCCAAGAAAAATAGCAGAATAACCACAAAGAAATCATTAAAATCTGTGGAAATCAAGCAGATGACCACAAAGTTAGGTCACTGCCATCAGGTCCGCTGCTAAGTCAGGCTAAATGCTCACCGGCTGTCCCGGTCCCACAGGAGTATACGTATGTGATTGATAATGGACGGCTGACCTAGCTTAATCTCAATGCCCGAACGGCAATCATCATCAATTGGGTGCCTTGAAAATCCATGATCCAAATCGTAATTTTGAGTGTCACCATCCAGTAAGGCAGACTTCAGCTCCCCTTTTACAACCTGGGCTCCATACTTCATAGTTGCAATGTTTTCTTCTGGTACTACAATTACAAAATAGAAAAAGCAGGGTTAATCATTATTTACCTAATTATTCTATATTTTTTATTCCCAGCACCAAAAAAAGATTCCTATTCTATATTTTTGTTAAAAATATAAAAAAGGCTAGCATTCCAGTTGATTCGCTATCACCATTTATTTTTAAAATGGTGTAGGAGGGGCTGGTGAGATGGCTCAGTGATCTAAAGCACCTACTTAGAACAAGCTTAGCAAGGCACAGGGAACGCGGTTCAATCCCCCAGCACCACATGCCACCAGCCCCACCCCCTGGAGGGCTGAGCTGGCCACACACACACACACACACACACACACACACAAATAAAAATTTTAGGGGCTGGAGAGATGGCTCAGTGGTCTAAAGCACCTACTTGAAACAAGCTTGGCAAAGCACAGGGACCTCGGTTCGATCCCCAGCACCACATGCCAGCCAGACCCGCCCCCTGGTGGGCTGAGCTGGCCACACACACACACACAATAAATAAATGTAATAAATAAAAATAAATATTTTAAAAAAAGAGTTTTAAAAAAATAAATAAATAAATGAATAAATAAAAATTTTAAAACATAATAATAAAATAAAATGGTAGGAAAGTCTACAGGGATAGAAGATATGGAATGCCTCCAAGGACTGACACTATTTAGAAGCAGGTCATAAGGGCACATGTCTGTAAACCAGCATCAGCATTTGGCAGGCTCAGGCAGGAGGATTAGCTGGAGTTTGAAGCCAGCCTAGACTACATAGTGAGTTTAAGGCCTGCCTGAACTACACAGTGAGACCCTATCTTAAGGGGGGAAGAAAGATCCCATTCAGAGTTTAAGTTTAATGTCACTATCACAGCTACAATGTGCCTGGGACGCAGTCTTAAGAAAAAACTAATACTAACAGAAAAACATGTAGTAGGATGAACTCAGCTCTCCTGAGTTAATTCTGTTAGCAGCTGGATGGAAATTGCATGTAAGATGACCTATACCTGCCATTTGGACTGAGGACAACACATGACAGGCAAGCAAACAGGTCAGACATCTGATAAACCAACAGAGAGAAGGATTCCAATGCAGCATAACTGTTAGTCAAACACGGAAAGGCTCAATCAACTCATCTAGCTAAAAGAAAACAAAGTTTTACTTAAAAGAAAAGACACTTCTTTATCAATAAAATTATGGGGGAAAAAAACTTGTATATAACAAACAAAAAAAAAGAATTTACTGTGTGATATTTTAAACTGTCATAAATGAGAAAATACTTTATTGATTGTACAAAAAAAAGACACCGCCTTTTTGAGAGTTCTTTAAATGAAAATTTAGATTGTTATCAAAATTATTATGGCGATTATTAAATTCCTTCCCCTCTCTAGTATGAGGTTTATTAAGCACTGAACATAACTGGAATTTTGAAAGGCTAATGCAAATCATGCCTCACAGCTCTGAAATCAGTCCCCATGTCCTGACACTCTCTGGAAAGATAAAGAGGTTGCAGAAACCAACTAAGAACTTAAGCAGTTTCACTTTCAACTGCAGCTGCACACATGCCATCATTTGGGAGCAACTACCCTCTTTAAACTTCAACTTCATAGTAGGGAAGTATCGACTCCTAGATTTTTAAGAATTAAATGAGATGATGTTTACAAAGTATATGAAATATTCTTTAAAAATGGCCTTACCTATAGTGTTAAAGGTGTGTTTTAAAAGTACACAATAAGAACACTATGCACACATACCAACTGTAAATAAATACTTAATTCTCACATATATTTTGGCCTTGTGATTTGAAGATGGGAAAGCATGAGGTATAACCAGGCTCAAAAAGAAAAAATGGTAAGTAATTCACTGCTGCATATTTCTTAGAAAGTTCGTCTTAAAAAATACTTAAAAGGACAGGTAAAGAGAGTGGCTCCCCAGGGCAGTAACTGCACCTGAAAAGTGGAAGGTAAGAGTGGGGTTTAATTAACAGACAAAAGACCAAGGTAACCAGCAAAATCAAGGAACAAAACAATCCAGGCATACTCAGTGCCTCACCATCCGAAGCTCAAGTGATACAGAAGGCCACCTTTCTAAGGTTTATTAACTTACTGATAACATTTTTTTTTAATGTATCTAGCACAGAGTCTCACTACACAGATTGGACTCACAGTGATTCTCCTGTTTTCAGCCTCCCAAGCGCTAGGATTACAGGTACGCCACCACGCCCAGTCTCAATGTGCCACGGGGTGGGGCCAGCATGGCACACCAGGGATCTAACCCCAGCCGCTGGGCTCTGTCTAAGCAGGCACTTTAGTCCACTGAGCTATCTGGCTGGCCCTTAACTTATTGATAACCATCCTTATTCTGTTTAACAAACCTTACAGAACACACACTATGAGCTAGATACTGTCTAAGCACTTCAAAACTGCTGTTTTCTTTGATTTATTCCTCAAAATAACCCTCTGGCTACAGCACTACTATTACATTCACAGCACATATGACAAAAGTGGAGGCAGGGACACTCAGATCGACTTACTTGACCAAGGTCAGGCAACCAGCACAGCTGAAGTTAAAACCCAGGCAGTCATCTCCTGGGCCGTTTCTACACATTCCTCTGTTAGCTCCCCAGAGGGAGGGGGAGATGGCCGTATTTTTCCCTCTAGTCCCCTCTTTCCTCTTAGATTGCTGAAGACCCAGAGGAAAGAAATAGGTATTTTGACAAAGAAAAAGAAAGTGGGAGAGGGAGCCAGAAAGGGAGAAAAAGAGAATTGAACTTAAAGTGAAAAAAAGTCTAAATTTGAGACTCACTCTCTATTAACCCCTAAATTTAAGCCTCTTAATCTTGCTTGTTTCCTCATTTAAAAACAAGACTTTTCACATTGTACCTCACAGAGTTACTTTAAAATTACCCTACAAATAACATATGTTAAAATACTACATAGTATACAACATTCATTTGGTCAGAAGTATTTACGAAGTCCCTCCACACCAGGTACTGTGCAAAGCACTGAAAATAACTCAGTGAATTAAACCAAGAAAGGCCCTGCCCTCCTGGTACCTCCAATCTGAACACAAGGCTGTTCATTAGCAGTAAACAAGAGCTTCAAATCTTGTGTTTTTCAGTTATCAGTGATGCATAACTATTTGGTAAAAATAACAGCAAGCATTTCTCCCACCTTGCTACGTGTAAAATGTGGAGGCTCCAACTCTGTTGCTGCTGACCAGTGGAAACATCTCCTCCAGTTCTGATCCCACAAGCCAAGACAAGAACACCAAGCTACCACATTCAGAAAGTGGTCCCCTATGATTTCCTCTCAACATGAACTTTCTCAGAACCTACACTTATCAAGCTAGAAATAACACACTAGGCACAAGCATTTCAAATAACTGTAACCAAAGTCTAAAATACAAATAAAATTTCCAACACGTGTTTAAATCTTCATGTGAAGTTTATTTCAAGAGTACTTAGGAACTTTAGAGCCTGCAAGATAGATCAGCAGACTAAGTGCCTGCTTAGGCAAGCGCAGAGACCAGGGTTCAATCCCCAGGACCACAGGTGACACCAGCCCCGCCCCTGGATGCACTGAGCTGGCCACCAAGACCAGGTGTGGTTTTGCACGCCTGTAATCCCAGCACTGGGGAAGCTGAAAACAGGAGGATCACTGTGAGTCCAAGCTGTACAGAGAGAGCCTGTACCAAATACATTTTAAAAAAAGGACTACTTAGGAACTTTTGTATCTGTTCTCGATAGGTTCCTTCTTTGAGAGTATCTTTCACTTCAAAATGGACAGCATTTATATAAGTGAAAATTCTCTGACAGTGACTAGAATGTAAGACTCTTTACTGGATAAAAATGTAACTTCAGGTAATTTTGGCAAAGTCTCTGTTAAGTAACAGATTTAATAGGTAATGTGATCCTAAAAATTCAAATCATACAAATTTCAAACCACAGATATTCTTAGTACCGGTTTATCAATAGAGAGAGAAAAAAAAAAGAAGAACTCTCAAAAAATCTTATGAGGGCTGGCCAGATAGCTCAGTGGACTAAAGTGCCTGCGTAGGCAGAGCACAGAAGCTGGGGTTTGATCCCACCCCCGGAACACACTGAGACAGCAATGGAGACTGGGCATGGTGGTACACGCCTTTAATCCCAGCGCTTGGGAGGCTGAAAACAGGAGGATCATTATGAGTCCAATCTATGTAGTGAGACCCTGCATACCCTGTACTAACTAAATACATTTTTTTTTAAAAAATTACATCTTAGAGATTAAGTAAGAGGGTACACAGCCATCAAAACTTATTTAAATTTGCAAATTTTAATATATCTTTAAAATGCTAAGAAAAAGATTAAACTTTGAAGCTCTACAGCTAGGTACAAAAAAATCAATTATTAGGAAAAATGAGAAATGGAGGATATATTCCCAGCTACACAGTACCAAAATCTGAGTAATATGAGATACTCATCTTATGCTTTCCCTTAATTGCTTTATGTTCTTAATCATTTTTTATCAAAATCTCCATTTCCTGTAGGTAGATCTGGTCATTCACCCTGATGTCTCTATGGATGAAAAGTTAGTTCTTTGGAATCTCTTTCCCTGGTTCAGCCACTTCCACTATTTCTCCCTATCCAGACTTCTATAGAGAATGCATGGACTCTCTCGGCCTGTAATGCTGTGCTGCCTCGCAACTGTGGCACTACAGGTGGCTTCTCAAGTGCCACCTGAGCTTACCCTTTCCCATTACCCTCATCTTCCACAGGCCTCCTTCCCACATATGACAACGATGACACTGAAACACACCACAAAATGTATGCTAAAAAGAATGCAGGCAGGAGAGTCCAAGGAAAAGCACTGTTCAAGGGCTGGGGAGATGGCTCAGCAGAATAAGCGCTTGCCTGGCAAGCGCAAGGGCCTGAGTTCAACTCCCGGTTCTGCCAAAGAAAAAAAGAAAAGCACTGTTCACGTGAGGCTGAAGTCAGCACTGTGGTTCTAGCTCCTTGCACTGAAAATTTGGGTAACATCAGATAAATTCCCAAGAACAATCACTGAGCTCAATGGGACTATCATGCTACTCATTTGTTTTCAATGTCCTCAGTGTCCTTTTATGTAATGGCCACCATATTTTACTCAATCCTTAGGAGCTCACCTTCTAATGAGACACGCACACATCTCTAGCCCCTATACACCTCCACAGAGAAACAGGCATTAGAGAAGTGCTTGGAATCTGTTTTATAGTGCTTGCAGTTTGAAGCCTAGGCCTTTGGCACTGAATTACACTGCCAGGCTTTTTTGTTGTTAAAGATTTGAGACAGCATCTGAGTCACTGAATTGCCTAGGCTGGGCTCAAACCTGCAACCTTCCTACCACAATCCACCAGAGTGCCAGGACTACAGGTGTGTACCCACTACGCCAGACAACCAGAGACCATTTCTGAACCCTCAAGTTAACTGAGAGATTTACCCATCACAACAAATTATGGTTGGAAAGAGACAATAATAACACAAGTTTGAGGTTTTAAAAGTATTAAAAATTCAGGCCAGGGGCCAAGGAGCTACCCCAGTAGAATAAACACCTGCCTGGCAAGCACAGGGTCCTGAGTTCAATCCCTGGTACCAAAAAAAAAAAAAAAAAAAAAAAATTCAAGCCAGGGATTTAGCTCAGCAGCACCTGTCTGACAAGCACAAGATTGTGAGTTTGATTCCCCACATCAAAAAAAGAAAAAAGTACCAAAAGTTCACTGTTATTGGTGCCTGTATGTGACAGGTGATATAGATTCAAATTTCTGTTTAGAAGCAAGGAATAGATTGACTTTGTCTATTTGTTTTTAAGTTTAAATCCAGGCACTGAACTTGGTGCTTTAAAAAAAAAAAATAGGTAAAAAAAAACATAATTAAATTCAGTCTCAAAAGCCAGTCTTTTTTTTTTCTTTTTTTTTTTTGGCGGAACCAGGGATTGAACTCAGGTCCTTGCACTTTCCAGAAAAGCGCTTATTCCGCTGAGCCATCTCCCCGGCCCCTCAAAAAGCCAGTCTTGGGGGCCAGTTCGATCCCCCAGCACCACATCCAGCCAGCCCCGCCCCCTGGTGGGCTGAGCTGGCCCCCCACACACACACACAATAAATAAATAAATGTAAAAAAAGTTAAAAAAAAAAAAAGTTAAATCCCTTGAATCACCAAGATCTAATATTTTTCCATAACATTCCTTCTGTACATCTATTATTTTCCATTTTCTTGCCAGGACTCTAGTTAAAGGCTATATTAATTATGCATCAATTAAATACCTTTTCACTGGTCTTCCTAAGTCCACTGTCTCTATTCACTGTCTCTATTTAAAATCAAGTGTGCATCACAGATCAATCTTTCCAAATTCTCACTGTACATATGCTACTGCCCCACTTAAATTGGTTCCTTACTACATATAAGTGAAATTTCAATCTTCAAATATGCCACGATTTGGCTTGAACTGACTTATGTATATTTTATTAAGTACTATTATCATCACTTTAAACAAAAGCCTTCTATTCTTCTTCCACAGTCCCGTAAACATTCTAATCCTAGTCTGTTAATTTTACTAATCTTCCCATCTGAAATCTACCCAGCCCAAGTTTTCCAAATCAAACTTGAATTTCATAATCTTCATGAAATCTCCTTCAATCCTGTCACTCTTTCACAACACCACTCTCTTCAACAGTTGTGTCTAAATTTTCTTAGGAATTACATATTATTTCCACAATGAAATTACAAAGATGAAAGATAAAGACTATGTCTTATGCAGCATAATTTCGTGGTTAAATACATGGGCTTTAGAACTGAACTGTATAGCTTCAACTTTCAGATCCTCATCTTTCTGTGTGGCCCTTGAGTAAGTTATCTAATTTCTCTATATTTCAGTTTCCTCCTTTATAAAATTTAGTTAAAAAGTATGCCTACTTCAAAAAGTCAGTTGTTCATGCAGGGCCTGTTCTCAATACACACATCAGGGAATACTTTACAGTACTGCTGGTTAAACTATGATAAACAGTATTGACTTTCCACTTTCAGAAATGTTGAAGTTCTCTGAAGATGCTGCTGAACTTTTTTGTTTTAGATTTACTGTGTCTGAGATTTCTGGGATTTTTTAAGTTGTAAATTCTATTGCATGCTAGTTATTTCTGGTAACTGCTACTACTTTCATAGTAAGAAAATCACCACATAAATGTTGGAAATGCTATACTAGTTTGCTATTGTTACAGATATTTCAATTCACCATGCTAGCAGCAATTAAAATAAGTACCCAGGAGGGATTTAATGCTTCTTTAATGAAGAAAGACAGAAAAAGACATAGATTAAGAAGCAACTTTCCAGGAAAATGTCTTATTTATGACATCCAGAAGAGCAGTTGGAGAAATCTGTCCAGGAATGATAAGAAAAAACATTGTTGGCAAGGACTATACGGCTAACCAGCCCCGGAAGAAGGAACAGGAGAAAGCCATAGCACGGGAAGCAGCCATTTGGTCACAGCCCACCAGCTACACCTGCACTATGGTTTTGGACCTGGAGCTTTGGAGTTGGGAGCGGCATAACATGCACGCAAAACTTCCTGGGAAGCTGAGGGTCAACAGGTACTTACTGAGCATGCCTCTGTAATTGAGGTCCATATCCCGGCTCTCCGAGCGCACTTTAATGGCATCCAGAATGGCGTCAGGAGACAACAGTCCCGAAGGCCTCACAACGTTCAGGAGTTCAGTGAGGCTCATCAGAGGTAAACGCACAGCTTGCATGATTTCAGCATGATCTTCCTTTGAATTGTGCTTACACCAGTTTAACAAAGCTAAGAAAATATCTTTTTCGGGAGCTGCAAATGAATCTCTTAATACGATGTTTAAAAGTGCTGTCTGAAAAGCATAAAAAGGAAAAATCCAGTTATGGTAAGTCCAACTGTGTTCAGGACCAAGCAACAAAACTTTACAGAACCGCGGTATCATTCGCATTTAGTCAGTATTTTTTTTTTTCTGCAAATGAAAATTGAAGCCAAGGCCTAGGTAATAAACTATCCACTCAGACTTCTTAAATTTTTTGCCCAGGTTCCTACTAAGTTACTAAACTGCCCAGGCTGGGCTTGAACTTGTGATCCTCCTGGATCAGATTTCCAGAGTGCTAGAATTATAAGCAATTAATTTTTTTCTTTCTCTTTTCTTTCCTCTTTTTCAATATATAGTTCTTTTTTAAATTAACTTTATTGAAAATACTATTTGTTATTAATTTTTTTTCCTGTGGTATGGGAGGTTGAACTCAGGACCCTGCACTTGCCAGACAAGCATTTATTCTACTGAGCTATCTCCCGGGGCCTGCCTGCCTTTCTTTTTTCTTCTTTCTTTCTGAGGCAGGGTCTCGCTATGCAGTTCAGGCTGGCCTTGAGCTCACTTTGTAGCCCACGCTGGTCTCAAAAATCTCAAGGATCCTCCTGCCTCAGCCTCACAAGTGCTGGGATTATAGGCGTGCACCACCATGCCCAACTCTGCAATTAATTCTTTTAACCCTCTTCTTTACTTAGACTTTGTGTCATGTATTCTCTTGCCTGTTGTGGCTATGTGATCAATAAGAAAGGAAGCAGCACCTTTATTTCCTGCCTGGTATACTCTATCACTCCACAGATATCTAGCCTTTCCAATACATTTATACCCAGCTGTTTAAAAATAGCAAGAAGAAAAGTGACAAATGAAAAGCTATAAATGCATACAGATTATTTAAAAGAGTATATATTTGAAAGTCAGTAAGACACATCTGGCATTTAGATTTCAAAATCCTCTGCTGCATAGTATAACTGCTACCATATTTTTGGTGCTCGGCTCTCCAGATGGACTTCCATCAACACTGGTGCAACATTCAAAGATCGTTTTGCCTTTAAAAATGAAGTAGGATAATAAAAATCATAGCTTACACTCCAACCAAGATATAAGGCTTTTCAAAAGATTTTCTCATCAGAGACACCCAGGTTGCATGTGGAACACAAAAAGGAAAAAAAGAGAAAACTACCACCCAAGATTCAGGAAAAAAATTGAGCAAAAATAGTTTTATTCTACCTAGAACAGTAAATTTTAAGTCAGCAGAAAAGCACTGACTTAAAGACATCAATGACATATCTTCTTTATGAGTTTTCCCTCTTGCTGTAAAGAATTTAGTTGCACTCCATCAGAGAAATACAAAACCAAAAAATAACATTCACTATCACAAAGGACCCTTGTCTGACTGATCACATAAAAAAACAGCACCCAGCAGCATAGTACTTTGAACATAAAAATTATCTGCAGAACCTTAAATGAAAACAGAAGCAGTCTCTCTTCTATGATCTAGAGTCCAACAGCCAGATACAGTGGTGAGACTAGTAATCTCTTTGATAGCAGCGATCTTTTTGTTTTTTTCTTTTCATTTCTTTCTTTTTGTGTGTGTGTGTGTGTGTGTGTGTGTGTATGTTTTTTAGGGAAGTGTCTACAGGATGTTCAAAGCCTGTTTACAGCCTCCCAAGAGCTGGGACTACAGGTGTGCGCCACCACGCCCAGTCTCAATTGCTGTCTCAGCACACCCCAGGGGAGAGGCCCGGCAGGCACAGCAGGCCTGGGAATCAAACCCTCGGCCCCTGCGCCTGTTGCAGGCACTTTAATCCACTGAGCTATTTGGCCAGCCCTTTCTTTTTTTTTTTTTTTTTCCTAAACTCTTACTCCATCGCTGTACTGTCACTATACAATGTACAAATAAAATAACATGGGCCTATGAGTTATTTGCAGCAAATGACACACCTTGGAAAGGGAGAGGAAACCTTCACTGGAGAGCACCTCTTGAGCATTTCTGTCCATGAACATGCAGCACATGCAAGTTAACTTGGGGAGCGAGTAGAGACTGGCAACATCAAAAGTCATACAGACGTTCTGGATGTTAAGTATGGTGCAGAGATACTCAGAAGTAGAATCCTCCAGCTCTGGAAAGCCGTATTTATGAGCCAGACTCAGAAAGTCCAGCAGAACCTCCTCCCTCTCGTCCGTTAGGGTTGCCCGCCCGGTGTAGATGTACTTGAGCAGCATTGTGAAGGCTTCAGCGGTGGTGTCCTGGAGAGGGATTTCCGCTTCAGGCTGGGACTCGCGCATTCCGCCGTACAGCAACGCTCTGCGCATCACAGAAGAAACAGGGTGGAGACTCCACACGGGACATGCTACGACATATATGAAATAGTACTTGCCAACCTTACACAAATATAAATTTGCTTAATGACACAAAGATCTAGGTGATGAAATGTAAAGTTATCATTTTAAACAGTTTTTTAAAGAAAGCCAGAGGAATGATTTTAAAACCATTTTGAATTAATTCCATAAACAACTGAAATAATATGCCACTCTGAAAGCTCAAGATTAAATAGAGGTAGAAAGCAGTCTTTTGAGAGGAACAGTTAAATCAATATAAAAATGTTAAAGGTTATTAGGCAGTATGTCCTGTAAAGTAAAACTAAAGAGATACAATCAGATTTTTTAAAAACCCAATCAGATGCCATTCTCCTGTCACAATGGCAGAAATTAAAAAGCTATGAATACCTGGTGCTGCGAAACAATTTGAGAAAACAGGGGTTTTTATTTATTGCTTTGAGAAACAGTATATATAAATGGGCCCATTCTTGAAAAGTAATTCAGTGAAACCTATTTGAATCTAAACTGTGCATATATTTCCATACAATAATTTTATTTATAGGACTTGATTCTAGAGACAAATGTCCAAAAATAGGAGCATGTTACAAAAAGTGACACACAAACACTAAGTAGCCATTACAAAGACCAATGGAGAGTAGACACTTCTTAGAAAAATATGTTTAGGGCAGTGGTGGTGAACCTCGAGGGGCTGTCAATGGCTCAGCACATGTGCTGCAGGTCGGCCACCTCGTCTAGGCCTCTTCCCAGAACACAGAAGATGAGCAAGGAAAGTTCAACGTTTATTATAAAAAGTTTCCACTTAAAATAGTTAGCTTTTCTTTATTTGGGAATTGACAAACCTCTTCTGACAGTACTTAAACTTCTGTTTACTGACAATTAACTTTTCAACTTTTCTTTGTTCATGAATAGTGTTGGCAATAAGTATCTAAGAAAGTTTGAAAATGGCTTTGAGTTTAGCCAAGTGAACCATCAAATGTTACAAAGGTTCACTATCCACAGGAATGGGGTCAATAAATAGGAGGAGTACATTACACTCACTCAATATGATCTTTAAACTTCCAAAAGTCTATGTATTTCTTTTAAGAATGCACTGATCACAATATGTGGATCAATAGAACAGTACAGAATACACAGAAACAGCCCCAGGTATATTCAGCTATCTAATCTTTGACAAAGGTGTCAAAAACATATGCTGGAGGAAAGATAGCCTCTTCAACAAACAGTGTTGGGAAAACTGGCTATACACAAGCGAAAGATTGAATCCAGACCCACATCTCTCACCATGTACCGCACTAAAATCAAAATGGATCAAAAGCCTACACATAAAAACAGAAACAATCTGCTAGATAAAAAAGGTGAAACTCTTGGAGACATAAATGTAGGCAAGGACTTTCTGAACACAACCCTAACTGCACAAGAAACAGCATCAAAATCATCAAATGAAATTTTATCAAAAGCTCCTTCACAGCATAATGGGAAAATTTCTGCTAGTTACTCCTCAAACAACTAATATCTGGAATATTTAAAGAACTCAAAAAAATTAGACTACCCAAAATAAAATACCCAATCAAAAAAAAAAGGGGGGGCTTTAGTAGCCATGGCTCTGCACTATCCCATGGCCACAAGGGCCACAAGGTGACAAAGAATGTGAGCAAAGTGAGGCACAGACGCTGTCAGGGATGCCTCAGCACCAAACACACCAAGCTCCTGTGGGACATGATCCGGAAGATGTGTGGTTTTGCCCCTTGGCACACCATGGAGCTGCTGAAGATCTCCAATGACAAACGCACCCTCAAGTTCATCAAGAAAAGCATGGGAGGCTGGACGAGATATGTCAGTGGACTAAGCACCTACCTAGGCAAGCACAGGGACTGGGGTTCCACCCCTGGCACCACATGCTGTGCAAGCCCTGCCCCCAGGTGCACTGAGCCAGCCACCAAGACAGTGTGGTGGCGCATGCCTGTAATCTCAGCACTGGGGAGGCTGAGACAAGGAGGATCACTATGAGTTCAAGTTGCATAGTGAGAGCCTGTACCAAATACAGTGGGGGGGGGGAGGAGAAGAAGGGGAAGGGGAGGGAGAGAAGAAGGGGAGGGGGCGGGTACAAGAGCAGGAGGAACTGAGCAACTTGCTGGCTGCCATGGGGAAGGGAGCTGCCAAGAAAGACTGAGCCTCCCTATGGAATAAAGCTTTGCATTAAAAACTAAAAGGGGGGGGGGCAACTGAAATGAATAGACACATCTCAGAAGCAGTACAAACAGCCAATAATTTATGGAAAAAATGTTCACTATCACTGACCATTACAGAAATGCAAAATAAAACATTGAGAGTCTATCTTACTCCATAAAAAATGCCCATCATCAAAAAATCAATGCTGGGCTCTTGCTGTTTGCCACCGCCATAAAAGGTTGCCCTCTGCCATGTGCCACTCTGCCTTGGACACTGGTAAATATGGACTGAAATCTTCAGTAACCGTAAGCTAAATAAACTTTTCCTTACCTAACAAAGAAAGAAAGAAAGAAAGAAAGAAAGAAAGAAAGAAAGAAAGAAAGAGAAATCAATGCTGGCAAGACTGCAGGGGAAAAGGAACTAGCTGCAGGGAAAAAGAACCCCTTCTCCACTAGAAATTTCATTCAACCCAACACTTCACCTTCGGAGTACCTTTCCAAAAGAGCCAAAGATGCCATATTACACTGATATACATTACTTATATTTACAGCAATAAATGTTATAACAGCTAAATTTTAGAGGCATCCTATTTGTCCATTAACAGATGAACAGATAAAGAAAATGTAGTGTTTATATTTGTGAAGTACTACTTTACCATGAAGAATGAGTCATTTGAAGGAAAATGGGTGTGCCTTACAACCATAATATTAAGTCAAGGGTCAGCCAAAGAGCTCAGTGGATTAAAGCACCTGTAAGCAGGCACAGGGGCCGGGGGTTCAATCCTTGGGCCTGCCATGCCAGCCCCACCCTTGGAGTGTGCTGAGAAGGCAAATGAGACTGAGCGTGGTGGTGCGCACCTGTAACCCCAGCTCTTGGGAGGCTGTAAACAGGTGGATCCCTATGAGTCTGATCTAGTAGTGAGACCCTGAACACTGTGCAGACCCTTCCCTAAAAATATATAAATAATAAGTCAAATAAATCAGACACAGAAGGTTAAATAATGCATTTTTCTCTTACATGAGAAACCCAAACTATAAATAAATAAAAAAAAACAAAATAAAATGTAAATAATAGGAATCAGAGAGAGATGCTTTTCAAAAGGGAAGGAGAGCAAACTATGGGGGGAAGAAGGTAGGTGGGAGATGAGGGAAAGGAACAAAAAAGAATTAAGTTGTGTTATTCACATGTACCAACCCCATGAGGAACATAATCATTATGTGCTGCAAATATGTACAAATAAAAGTACGTATTAAAAATATATAAATAAAAATTTTACAGTTGAGGTTAATTGTCACCTCAAAAAGAATGCACATGAAATTTTTTCTAAAGCATCTTCATTTTTAGACATGGACTGCCCTAGGAAAATCTGTAGCTCTATGTACCATCTTTATCCTCAGAAACTGAAAAAGAACTGTTATCAGTGAAAAATTACCACTCAGCCAATAATTCACTGATGATGCCTCTTAGTATTAGATAAAATGTAAAAGAATTAAGAGATCAGTTTAACATTTAAAACTGGACATTAATGGTCTCACTAACAACAATGGTCTTAAGTGGGATTTTTACATTAAATATATACTTTGTTTAGTGATAGTTGTAATGAAACTTAGTCAAGCCTTCTTTTAATCTGAACTTTCATACAGCATGTCTCAGAGCTCATGGGTTACACACAGGTCCTAGACCTCAGCAACCTGAAACCCAAAGTCACACATGTGCATTAGCAGGGTGGAGGGTCGGCTCACCCACACAACGAGAAGCCCACCCTCCAGTCAATGTAACCATCGATTGTGAGAAGGCAAGGGCAACAAAAACCCAGCCTGAGGAATATTCTCCAGACCTTTAAAAATAGTCGCTTGTTACCATCCAGCCTGGAAAACCTAACACCTTAATTCTACAGTAATTTCTAAAGGAAAAGGTGCTTCTTTATAAACAACAAAAAATCTACAAAGATGAAATTCTCATAGATGTTGAATTTAAGGATTACTATGATTTATCTTCTGTTACTTTTTTTCAGAGTAGAAAATACCTTTGTTTTGTACATGCTATTTGAATCTTAATTACACACTTACCTAAAATACTGGCACCTGGCTGCTAAAATTACCCGGTGGGCAGGAAAACGTTTCTTCTCCACAACAAATGTGACATCGCCATATTCTTCTCCAATCAACAAGGCACCAATATGTTCAGACAAAATATGCACGTGATCAATTTCCCCCACTGCAGTAAAGGGCCGAAGAGGGTGGCTGTTACTCATCTTGTCAAATCTGTAGTCACTGATCTATTATAAAAAGGGGAACAGAATTAGTAAAGGAAGGAGAGTACACTTAGCTATGTTCATGATATGTGATTCTCTTCAAAGAAAACTTTAAAGTGCTTTTTAAGAAAAGAGAGAGAGAGAAAAAAAATGAGTCATCAATGATCTCTATGAACTCGTTCATCCTGGGAAACAACTCACTTCCATCAACTCACTGCCTTCACACCTCATCACACCAGAAAAGCAAAACTGCCAGGTTCTGAAACACTGACAGCACTTGGAGCTATCACAGTCTGGAAAACTAAAGTCAATAAGGACTGTGGTTTGTTGTTTGTTTGGGGAGTATTGGAGTTTGAACCCAGAGCATTTGCACTAAGCTACACATTCAGCCCTTTTAAAAAAAATTTTTAGAGACGGGTTCTCAGAAAGTTGTTAAGGGCAAGGCTCAAAATTGTGATCCTCCTGCCTCAGCCTCCCAAAGCACTGGGAGTACAGGCATACACCACTAAAGCCTGAAAATGTTGATTTTTGGGCCAGGGAGATAGCTCAGCAGCTTAAGCGCCTGCCTGGCAAGTACAATGTCCTGAGTTGGATCCCTGGTAATGCCCTAAGAAAAAAGATTTATTTAATACGGCTGGGTACAACTATGCCCAGAAAAACATTTAGGCATAGTGCCAGGCCTAAGTTACAAATAGAATAAATAAAATAAGATTGCATATAAGAGATTTAGTTTAGCCAGGGAGATAGCTCAGCAGTATAAGCACCTGCCTAGCAAGCACAAGGTTCTGAGTTTGACTCCCAGTACAGACAGACAGACAGACAGACAGAGAGAGAGAGAGAGAGAGAGAGAGAGAGCAAAAGATATTTAGTCTGAAAGCATCTTAAATGTTTTATAAAAATAATCTGAAAGAACAAAAATAACTTGACATTTCTTAATAGAGATTTATAGTAGCAGCCTAAGACACTCTCAAATAAAGAACAACCCTGGCATTTTTCTCAAGACTGTTTAACTTCCATGCCAAACATGTGGCTCTGATGATTAGGCTGCCAGTGTACACTAGAACGTCATTACATTTTTCTTCTTTTTCTTCTTTTCTTTTTTTGCAGAACTAGGGAATGAACTCAGTCCCTTGCACTTACCAGGGAAGCGCTTATTCTACTGAGCCATCTCCCTGGCCCACATTTTACTTCTTTCAAAGGTGCTTCCCTGATTTTCTACTCCCCAGTTCCACCAAAAAAAAAAAAAGAACTGAAAAATAAAAGGACTGAAATTGGTTAATGGATTTGCATGTTAGAAAGAGCAGTTATTTTAGAAAGCCAAAAACACTTTTATTTTTCAATCCTTGATGTATTTGTAGGTTCTGCTTTTCCACATGTAAGTGACCAGCAGTTGAGTGAGCGCCTTCATAGCATTCAGTGCCCCAGGAAAGATGGCCTTTAGCTGAGGTAAGCCTCCACCCCTGTGCTGTGCCACATACTAAGAAAGCTGAGCCAGCGGCCTCCTCTCCGCTTGCCCTTCACTCCTCCTCAAACTCTACCTGGAGCCTTATCACAAGGGTCACCAGCAATTCATCTTTAAGCTTCTATATCCAGACCTATTATTAGCAATGTGTATAAAAAATAGTCCCTCTCCTCCAACTAAGGTGAAGATCCTCACAGACCAAGTTCCTTAGCTACCTACTATCACATACCAGGCCTCAGCAAAGGGACCACCAATCAGCAAGGACTGTGATTTCCAGGAGAAACAGAGGATGGGCTGCGCAAGGAGACACCCATCCCAGGTAAGTGAGCGAACTCCTTCCTGGTTCCCATGGTAGGAGCAAACTATCTTTGGAGTCACAGCAAATCCATCTCCCATAGTTGCAGACTCTACTTGAAAGCCCCCAAAACAAATATATTATCTCTAGTCACTTGTGCATAAAAGACTACTTTCAGCTTAAAAGGTGTATGGATGTTTTTTTTTTTCTTTTCAAAGTTTTATTGATAAACATATAGCAATGAGACAGTTTCAAATCAAATCGAAAGTACAGTTTCAACAAATAATACACTGCATATATTCTTCCTAGTGGTTAATTGCTGTACAAGATGCAGACCTGTGACCCTACTTACAAACACCATTAGAAAAAATCATTCTATTCATTAAGAGAATGTATGGATGTTTAACACAAGAACCTAACACAGGCACAAGCAATCTTTCTGCAAAGGGTCAGATAGTAACTACTTTAGGCTCTGACCACTCTACCACCTTTGTCATTACAACTTAGCTCTGCCACAGTGCCTAAAAGCAACCACAGGCACGAAATAATAAATGAACATGGCTATTTTCCAATGAAACTATTTACAGACCAAGAGCTGGATCTGGCCCACAGGCCATCACTTGCCATTCCCTATTCTACATTCCAAAATTGACTACTCTCTAGACAAAGGATCAGATAGATGTTTTTTAAAGGCTTCTGTTGAGTTACCCAGTTGATATTCTAAATAACGTGGTCATTTCCTATGTTGTTCATGGAATTCTAAAAGCTTCTGGAACCTAACTTCAAAATCTCAACTGGAATACTCACATCATCGTCTACTATTTCAATCAGGATGCATGACTCTTAACACACTTTTTCCCTGGCTGAAAGGATGCAGTGTGTATGTCATAGAAATATTCTCTGGCATAATATTCTCCTAATATTTTATCTAGGTCATAGCTGAGGTTTAAATCACTGACTAAATGAATCTTGCTGAACAAAGATTGATTTTTGGTTAACTAGCTTAGAAGAAAAATTTACAATCCAATGCACTTACAAACATGGGTACTACAAATGTAAATATTTTGCTTAATAGGTTCTCTAGATCTTTACTCTCAATATATATAATTTCATTTTGCTATATTTACATTTTAATTATGTTTTTCTAAATGAAGACATAAAAATAATATTGCTGGGTACAGAAAATAGCCACTTAGTGTGGAATAAACACAATTTTTATTGGCATACAGAAATAATTTTAATTAGACTAGTGATTCTCAACAAGCCTTCCACACACTGGAACCACATGGGGAGATTTTAAAAAGGAAAAAGAGATGCTTGAGTCCTACCCATCAGAGATTCTTATTTAATTCATCTGGAACGGGGCCCAGGCAGGCACTGGAATCACCGTTCTGAAGTGATTCCAGTGAGCAACCTGCAAAAGAGCCAGCGATTTCGATTGTTACTGTAGTAGGTACCTACATGGCTCAGGTGTGGCTTTTCCCTAAGGCTGTGTGGAAGACTTGAGCCATGGAGTGCTTGGTATAGGAGCTGGCACATAACCTTTAAGAGGTGAGGCTTAGCAGGAAGTCCTTAGGTCACTAAGGAAGTTCGACAGAAAGGATTAAGGTAGTTCTCACAGGACTTGTTGGTAATTTTTGGTGATTCTTACTACAAAAGGAACAAGACTCACCCAACCACCTCTCTGGCTTCCCATTTCAAGGTGTCACTTCTTATTCCAGCATATATTTCTACCATTGTAATACCACTGACTATAAGGTCCTGGGAAAAAGCCAGTGCCACGCTCCAAAGCTGTATGCTAAATCAACCTCTTTCTTTATAAAGTTAGCCCACTTCAAGTATTTAATCATGGTAGCACAATGCTAATACAGTTCACATCCCTTTGATATGCAAGTTCAAAAAAGAAAAAAATCCACTGAGAAAATTCTTTAGTCTATTTTTAAGATCATTGTGAAGAGTCAAATGGTGCTAACAAAGTTATCAGTACCACAGCTTATATGTAGAATAGTTTGTATGACACAGTCTTTTGCAAAAAAGAACAGACCAAGAGATGGGGGAAGGTGGGAAGAAACAAAGGGGGAAGGGGTTAAAAAAAATTAGGACATGTAACATACATGTACCAACTCCTCACAATGAATGTAACATCTGAGATAAACACACACTTCTCAGAGGATGAAATTAAAGAGGCAAATAAACATATGAAAAAATGTTCCACATCACTAGCCATCCGTGAAATGCAAATTAAAACAACATTGAGATATCATCTCACCCCAGAAAGAATGGCTATCATAAAGAAATCAACCAACAACAAACGTTGGAGAGGCTGTGGGGAAAAAGGAACCCTTCTTCTCTGCTGGTGGGAATGTAGACTGGTGCAACCATTATGGAAATCAGTGTGGAGACTCCTTAGAAAATTTGGACAGGAAATCCCATTTAAACCAGCTATTCCTCTACTGGGAATTTTCCCAGAGGATCTGAAAACATCATATCATAGGGATACATGTGTGCCTATGTTTATAACAGCACAATTTGTGATAGCCAAATCTTGGAAACAACCAAGATGCTCGTCACCTGAGGAATGGATGAAAATAATATGGTATTTTTATACAATGGAGTATTACTCAGCTATAAAGAATGATAAACTCAAAGCCTTTATATTGAAGTGGATACCACTTGAAGATATACTCATAAGTGAAATAAACCAGACATACATGTTGTAAACATCATATAGTTTCCCTAGTGTAAGAACTCAAAAGAAGAAATACAAATAAAAAGGTGTAATACAAATAAAAGGAAA